GCTCAGCCCATAGGGAGTCTCAGTGTGGCCCACAGACCCTTTGTTTGCCATTGCCCACGCACAGGGTGGCCAGATTCCACAACACTTACAGGCCCCACAGGAGGGGCTGGTTTGATACTTTTAACCCCACAGTCCAGCAACGAGTCCCCCCCCCGCAAAAAACCCTCTGGGCAGCCAGCAACAGGGTAGAAAAAAAGAACATCCATAATTGTCAGAGAGTAGAGGTGGTAAAGTGGCAGTAGCATTTTTACCCATTATACTTCTGGAAAAGAGCAGCCCCAGAAGGCAGCTTGACTTTCCATTTCTCCTCCCCACTCTTCACTTCCTTGTCTGGGGGCGGGGGCCAGGAGGAAGAAGGGTGCAAGCACAGCTCCCTATTGTGCACAAACATGTAGCCCCTGCGGGTAGCCCTGGCTTTCTTCCCTTGTCCTGGGCCCCTTTGGCCACTTTCAAGAGGTTGCCTCTTCTGTAAAAAGCTCTTCAGGGAGCAGCTAGGTAAAGTCACTCTGGAGCAGTGGTCCCCAACGCGGTGCCTGCGGGCACCATGGCACCCGCTGGGGCATTTATGTGCACCCACCTAGTGACCAGGGCCGGTCCGAGCCATTCTTGCGCCCCGGGCACGCAGCGCATGTGCGACCACACCCCCGGCAGCCCCAAAAGGTTGGGGACCACTGGTCTAGACAGTACTGCGTCCTGCCATGATGGGAGGGGACTGGACTTGATGACTTCTCGAGGTCCCTTCCAGTCCTAGTATTCTATGGAACAAGTATTTCTCTCTTTCAAAGGGTCAAGTCAGGAGTCCTTTCTGAGGTGTAAGCTTACTCACCTAATGTCTCAGTGCCTGGTTTCCCAATATGTAAAGAAGGGGGATATAATACTTAAATACCTCATTAAATACAGACGATATAATAAAAACTTGTTCAATCCATAGAGAGCAAAGCACTTTACAAAGGAGGTAGGTATCCATTTTGCCATTTTACAAGTGGGGAAACTGACATGGAGCAACTTGCCAGAGATCACAGAAAGTAGACCTTACAGCAGGGGGAGGTAATAGTTTTTGAGGTGGGAGGCACACCAAGATTTTGGAAAGTGGTTGAGGGCCATGCTCTTCCATGATATTAATGGAGGAGATGCAAAGGCTGGCATGGGAGCCCCAAAACATTGGGGACCACTGCTCTGGAGGAATTTGATCCCACAGCTCATCCATAGCGTAAAAGTCCCATCTGCTTGAGAAACACTGGTCTAGACAGCTGCTGCCCTCTGGAACATGTCATTTCTTGGGGATCTTTGCCAAGTGTTCAAACATCTTCCATGGTGAAAAGAAAGCCAAAGTTTATATACAACTGATAGGAAGGAGACAACTTTTTACCCTAGGTGGGACGTGAACTCACAATCATTGGCTTAGAAGGCTAATGACTTATCCATTGGGCCACTTGGACCACACAAGGAGAAAACAGGAGGGCCAGAAATTCTCTCTCCAAAAGGCACATTCCTCACATTCTCTTGGCAGACAGGACTCCTCCTCTCTGCGGCTTGCAGCTACATCTGCAGCCCCTGGCAGGGAGGTGGCTGGGCAGGTTGCCGGCAGGGGCTGGCAGCAGTGCAGCCTGGGTTACAGCTCTGGGAGAGCAGCTGGGGGAGCTCGGCTGTGGGGCAATGGGCCAGTGTGTTCTGCTTGAAAGTAGGAATAAGGGATCTTCCAGAAAAGGCTTTATTTTCCAAAAGATCCCGTCTAGACTGGCGCTTTTCTCCGGCAAAGCCCCAAGCCAGAAAAAAGCGGCAGCCTTGTTCATGCAAATGCCACAGGGGATATTTAAATCCCCCGTGGCATTTGCAATTCCGACTGGTCTCATTAGCATCCCTTTTCCGGAAAAGGGTGCCAATGTAAACACAGCCCTGGGGAATGGATCCCACAACCACTCCCATGCAAAGAAAAGGCACTACCACTTGAGCTATCTCCCCTGCAGCAGTGATGCTTTTCTGACCACCCATCTTGTCCCAGAGACCACTATGTCCCTGCAACTGCCTGTGGCTCCTCTCTGAAAGGGTCATTTGTGAGCTACTTTGCTGTAGACCAGCTAGCTCAGCTGGCCAGCATGTGGTGCTGATAATGCCAAGGTGGTGGGTTCATGCTCCTTGCTGGGCACTGGATGCTTTGGGCAAGGATAGGGTAATAATTCAAAATGACCTGGAGAAATGAACTGAGGTAAATAGGATGAAGTTTATAAAAGACAAATGCAAAGTGCTCCACTTAGGAAGGAACAATCAGTTTCATACATACAGAATGGGAAGGAGTATGGCAGAAAGGGATCTAGGGATTATATTGGACCACAAGTTGAATATGAGTCAGCAGTGTGATGCTGTTGCAAAGAAAGCAAACATGATTCTGGGATGCACTAACAAATGTTGTGAGCATGACACGAGAAGTCATTCTTCTGCTCTGCTCTGTGCTGGTTAGGCCTCAGTTGGAGTAGAGTCCAGTTCTGGGCACCGCATTTCAAGAAAGATGTGGAGAAATTGGAGAGGGTCCAGAGAAGAGCAACGAAAATGATTAAAGGTCTAGAGAACCTGACCTATGAGGGAAGACTGAAGGAATTGAGTGTGTTTAGTTTAGAAAAGAGAAGATTGAAGGGGGGACATGACAGCAGTTTTCAGATATCTAAAAGGGTGTCATAAGGAGGGAGAAAACTTGTTCATCTTAGCCTCTGAGGATAGAACAAGAAGAAATGGGCTTAAACTGCAGCAAGGGAGGTTTAGGTTAAACATTAGGAAAAAGTTCCTAATTGTCAGGGTAGTCAGACACTGGAATAAATTGCCCAGGGAGGTTGTGAAATCTCCATCTCTGGAGATATTTAAGAGTAGGTTAAATAAATGTCTATCAGGGATGGTCTAGATAGCATTTGGTCCTGCCATGAGGGCAGGGGACTGGACTCGATGACCTCTCGAGGTCCCTTCCAGTCCTAGTATTCTATGATTCTATGAATTTGAAAAGTTAAATGGGCTCAACTTAAGACTTCAGGGTCAACATACAAACATCTTAATCCTCTCAGACAAAATGAAAGTGTCTGTCAAGAACATAATATGGGAAAATTACATTGCCCTTGGTAATGTGAAAATGTTCCCCTCTCTAGCTGAATTTGTCAGTGATAATGATTTGGACTTAAAGAGATATTTGGACTCAAAGAGATATTAACAACAAGATCTGAAGAGTTCCCAGACAAGAAGCTAGGTTGGATTCGAAATCCATTTATCTTCATAATCAGTTACAAGGATTCAGAACTGAGTATGAAGGAAAATGAAAAATTTGTTGATTTATCAGACAAAACTCTGCATGCTATGTTTAAAACTTCAATGTTCAATCAATTTTGGATATCTGTGCAAAACAAATACCTGGAATTATCAAAAAAAAAGCAATGTTTTCTCTACTTCCCTTCACCTTGACCTACTTGTATGAATCTGCTTTTTTGGCTTTCGCTGGGATAAAAACGAAACGTTAGTCCAGACTAAGTGTGGAGGCAGATCTAAGAGTGGCAGTTTCAAATATAAATCTGAAAATGGAAATAACAACATCTAAGATCCAAGCTCAAGTTTCTCACTAATTTTTGTCTTTCTTTCTTGTCTTTTTTTGTATATTGTTATTTTTGTCCTTTTTTCTTTTATATTTAAGCCAGATATTACTCATTACAAAATTCAGTAGTAATTTCTCAATTGATGAGGAACCAGATCATATAAGACTTTCGCTGTTGTCATTTCTTCTGAATACTGAATCACCACATTCATCTCCGAAGAAAGAATTTATTCATTCATATTCTACATTGCTCATATTATTTAGCCTTTTTTATGTTAGTTTGACTAAAATAAATGTAAAAAATGTCGTCTTTGTTTTTACATTTCAAAAACAAACTATTCAAGACATTTCACATAAATAAAATATCCATAACCTTCTGAGTTGGTTTGGCCCATGCACACAACCTCCATTTTCCTTTATTTACTATGGAAAATTAGTTCTTGATTTACGCGTTTTTGTTTTGAGCAAAGTTTTTCAGGAATACATCTATCACGTAAATTGAGAAATGACTTATGTAAAAATACTTATATAGTATAAATACGTCTATTCATATAAAATAATGTAATAAAATTTAAAAATAAAATATGTATACTCATATGAAAAGTTTTATTTATTATTACTTCCTATAACTAGTTTTAAAACATGTTTGACATGCCTGGTGTTAATTCTGAGAATTATTAGCGACAAGTAAAAATTATTTTTTCTAGGAAAGTTTGAAATACGTATGTAATGCCATTTTAACAAAAATTTTTACTTTCTAACTTAAAAAAGGGGTGACGGTTAACAGAAGGCGACGGATAAAGGGTGCAGAAAATCAAGGTTCTATTATATATGTATTACATTTAGGTACGAAAGTTAGCAAGAAATGTCTCAAATTATCTCAGGGGTTGCAACACGAGTACAATAAAATATGGGGGTCACGGTTGAAAAAAGGTTGTACACCACTGAGCTAATGCATCTGCACAGTAAGTGGGGCTTTTTTCCAATAACAATTTGAAATTATGTATAATTATATAGAATTATATATAATTTCAAAATGTTATGGAAGAAAGCCCTACTTAACATCTGACTCTTCCTAAGAACTGAAGTTCTCTCCCCAGTAGAGGTATTCTCTGTAGGGCTACATCTACACTGCATATTTCTGAATAAGCAATTTCAGGAGAAATATTCTGAAGTAGCTTATACATCATTTCAGATTATTATGGAAGAAAGCCCCATTTACTGTGCAGATGTATTAGCTTCTGCTCTGTGACACAGCTCTCCCCACACAGCTCTCCTCCCCAGCCCCCCCGTCCCAACTCCTTGCGGCAGCAGCTGCCTGCCAGCCCCACGGCTCCA